TTCATTTCCATCATCTTCATTGACACAAACATTATTTGAGTTAAGCATAACTCGTAATAATCAACGGGAACAAGAGATAGTTAAGAATGTCCAACCTTTAAGAGAATATTTGTATCCCACATGCACTAGTGTCCCGTCATGTTTTGCTTTTCCTACTAATGCTCCAAATTTCAACATTAAGGCAGGAACAATACAGCTTTTGCCACAATTTAATGGTCTGAAGTCCGAAAACCCGTATTTGCATATCAAATAATTTGAGAAATTATGTGGTGGTTTGTAAGATAATTCTGAAATGACCAGGTTAAAACTTTTTCTAAGCTAATCCACTGTCAATGAAGTCTCTTTTTTTGGTGTCTATTCTCAATACTGATGAAGAAGAAAAAGAAGAGTGTTTTCCGAGGATTCGATCCCTTTTTTGTAGGGCATCCTATTCTATTTATATAAGACTAAGCTTTTTTGTCTTTATTCAAGATTGCACGTCCTTCCCCCCACACCCCCCAAAAAAAAAAAATTAGTTGGAATCATTTTAAAATATTTGGCCAAAACAATCATATTCATAGGACATGAGATTTTCTAGAAGTTGTGATATGACATATTTGAAGTGGTAGCTTGTTGTCCAAAACATAATGGGTTTGTTGACCTTCTCTCCTTCCTATATTGATGGAATCCGAGTTGAATTGACTGCAGCCGAGCTGCTTGGATGTTGCTTGGTGACTTGGGAAGAGGCTTATTTAGGTCGGTCTTACGCAGCTCGAGAACTTTGAGCTGCAACGAATTCTGTTGAGGTGTAATTTACTGTATCATCAAAGTCGATATAAGCTTGCAATTTCTAGCATTTCAACTCAGCTGCATTGTCTCCTAATGAAAATCAAAAAAAATGATCAAAACTCAAACCATATGCATTTTGCTTTAAAAACTNGAATTCTGTTGAGGTGTAATTTACTGTATCATCAAAGTCGATATAAGCTTGCAATTTCTAGCATTTCAACTCAGCTGCATTGTCTCCTAATGAAAATCAAAAAAAATGATCAAAACTCAAACGATATGCATTTTGCTTTAAAAACTTGATTGATCATTCTCCCTATGTTAAGGAGAAGACTATGGTGCCGGGAAAAAAAATTGTGGAGATTATTTTTAATTTTCGGAGGCCATTTACAATTTAAGGTTATTTGGGATCAATCTTTTGGGGTTATTTTTGGGATAATCTTAGAAGTTTTAAATAATTTCTAAAAAATTATAACTTAAATCATAATATTTGCGTAAAAAAAAAATTCATAAAAATTGTAACATAACTTAAAAAATTATTAATTTTTTTAATGTAAATAAACCTAAAAATTTATATTGCACCGATCTTTTGGGTTTAGGATTGCTTGCAATATGGACTAAGACCCATCATTCTGAGAGTTGACAATGGTGTATATATATATATATATATTTTGTAATAACATACCTCCTTTTATTATATTTGCAGTTGTTTTTATTACATTTGTGAGTGTTTTTGTCACTGTTGTGATACCTAAAAAAATAATAAAAATATTTATCACAACAATAATAAAAATATTCACAAATGTGGTGTAAAAAACCCACAAAAGTAATAAATTGTCCACAAAAATGATAATTTTTTTGTACTAAAAAAAATGATAAAATACTCGTAACAGTGGTAAATCACTCATAAAAGTGATAAATTTTTTAATTATAAAATAATTTACAAAAATTATAAAAATATTGATTAAAATATTAAAAATATGGTACCAAATTTTTTTTTCCACTGCGCCGTAGTCAGGTCCATCACTCTGTATAAGACTGAAAAATTAAGTACGACTGACACATTCAGGTGTACAATCTACTCGGTCTTGAAACTGTGGCAATATTATGAAATTCCTTTGGGATGAATCGCATTTTGCATCAGTTCAGAAACAAAAATTATTTCATTTTGCTTGTCGAAAGATTTTAAAAAATTTTACTTCTACTCTAAAAATTAATTATTCTACATTACACTGTCAATATTATAAAATGATTGCAATGTGAATCTCACACTAATTTTATTGTTCCCATCAAATCTTGCTACACGCAATATAAATTTTATTGAAATAATAAAAAAATTAGTTTGCGGATGACATTATAGCTATTTTATGATGTATAGAGTGTAATGTAATGCCGTATACGGTGGGCCTAGAGAATATATAAGAAATCTTCTTTAACTTTCTCTTTTGACGGGTGAGATGGGGGTTGAACCCAATCCTACGGCATTGATATGGAGGTTGGCTCATAGGCCACCTCGGCCGTCCACACAACGACCAAACCTTCTAACCATACACGCCCTACTAGCGCACAAACACACTCTCTCTCTCTCTCCCCTTCACCCTCACCTCACAAGTAAATATTTAATGTAATAATAATTCCATCGCATCATTATTATTCTATAATGTCGTCAACTAATAATACACAAAAGAATGAAACAAGTAATCCCTATTAATCCTAAATAGTATTTATAAATGACTAAAATTTAATAAAATTCACTAGTCCAAGTTATACATTGTAGTGGGGTCCGATGGAGGGTATGCGGCTATCCGCCTACCCACCCACATTCTCATACCAAAAAGCAATTTTCCAGGTGACTCGGCCCCCACTTTCTGGGCATTTATTTAGGACCACCATTTTTACGCAATTCTAGGAACCTAATCTCTGAGAAATAGCGGCATGACAAACNTCCAGGTGACTCGGCCCCCACTTTCTGGGCATTTATTTAGGACCACCATTTTTACGTAATTCTAGGAACCTAATCTCTGAGAAATAGCAGCATGACAACCNCACTTTCTGGGCATTTATTTAGGACCACCATTTTTACGCAATTCTAGGAACCTAATCTCTGAGAAATAGCGGCATGACAAACAATATTCCCATGATGTCAGTTACCAGAGGTTAAAGAGATTATACTGCTAGATAATACAACAATGTTATCCCCAAATAAAACTAAAAATCAGGTCCTGTATCAGTGAGTTACATAGTTCAACAAGCACACAAAGCAACTCCTCTCCTTCAAACCCGCAGCATAACCATTTAATAGGATGCATCGCAATCTTATTTAGGGATAGCTTAACTGCCACCTCGCAAAAGCAACCCCCCACCTTGGGACCTTATGGGGGATGCTGATTTGAACAAATAATGCAAGCACCGAATGGCGATGTAACCGATGAACTGCCAAAACAACAGCCAACAGATTTGCATTCAGGAGTACTTTGTCTTGCAGTTTATGGAAGCATGTCATTGAGCAGAGGTGGCTTGAGTTGTTGAAAGACTTGATCTTTGCCCGGGATTCATAACTCAAGCAACAGGCACCCAACTGGTTTCTTGATATCTTATACCTTCAGACAAAAACTCAGCTTTATAAGATCGAATAATTTTCAAATCCGGGTGCAAATAAATTACCATGCACCACTAACACAAATCAGGGAAGCTTTTAGAGGAAGGCATGCAAACTTCTTTTCTAATATAAGTGCAGTCTTTCAATTACCAATAAGGCTATCACAGGACTAAAGTGAATTATTGTGTGGGTCTTTCTTAAGATCACATGTAACATCAACATGAACAAATTTAAATTAGGTAGAGCCTTCAAATGTTATGGATTGTAAAAGAAGGAATGTAATGTATGAAGAAAATTCATATTCACACCCTAAAGTTTGCAACTACAGGAGCAGAATCCTTTCAACAACAGCTGAAGTACATCCATGGAAATTGTGCAGATTAGAGGGGCTATATTCATATACATGTTTGAATTTCCATATGCCTATTATTCTGCTCCGTAGGATATCTCCTCTTTTAATTTAATTTTAACAAAAATTTTTGACTAACAGGACTCGCTCAATCATGCACTATTTGAAATCACGATTACAACGGANTCGCAATCTTATTTAGGGATAGCTTAACTGCCACCTCGCAAAAGCAACCCCCCACCTTGGGACCTTATGGGGGATGCTGATTTGAACAAATAATGCAAGCACCGAATGGCGATGTAACCGATGAACTGCCAAAACAACAGCCAACAGATTTGCATTCAGGAGTACTTTGTCTTGCAGTTTATGGAAGCATGTCATTGAGCAGAGGTGGCTTGAGTTGTTGAAAGACTTGATCTTTGCCCGGGATTCATAACTCAAGCAACAGGCACCCAACTGGTTTCTTGATATCTTATACCTTCAGACAAAAACTCAGCTTTATAAGATCGAATAATTTTCAAATCCGGGTGCAAATAAATTACCATGCACCACTAACACAAATCAGGGAAGCTTTTAGAGGAAGGCATGCAAACTTCTTTTCTAATATAAGTGCAGTCTTTCAATTACCAATAAGGCTATCACAGGACTAAAGTGAATTATTGTGTGGGTCTTTCTTAAGATCACATGTAACATCAACATGAACAAATTTAAATTAGGTAGAGCCTTCAAATGTTATGGATTGTAAAAAAAGGAATGTAATGTATGAAGAAAATTCATATTCACACCCTAAAGTTTGCAACTACAGGAGCAGAATCCTTTCAACAACAGCTGAAGTACATCCATGGAAATTGTGCAGATTAGAGGGGCTATATTCATATACATGTTTGAATTTCCATATGCCTATTATTCTGCTCCGTAGGATATCTCCTCTTTTAATTTAATTTTAACAAAAATTTTTGACTAACAGGACTCGCTCAATCATGCACTATTTGAAATCACGATTACAACGGAAGCCCTTAGATGCACACAATCATCCACAAACTACATGAATTGGTTAAACCTGGGCTGTATGTAACCAAGGGTACTTCAACACAAGACAAGACGTACAGGTTTATGCCTTGTCATTTGTTCAAACATTGAACATCTAGGTTCAAACATTGAACATCTAGGTTCTTTCAACAATATTTTGCAGACTTTTTTCTACATCAGAGAAAGAAACTTTAGTCGAACATCATTTTCTCACGTGCAAAACTTTATAATCTTTGGAGAGAAGTCATCATACTTACCTTAAAAGCAAGGTGTCCTCTCAGTGATATGCACCATATGACATGATCGATGACTGCAGCTCAAGACTTCAGTGACACAATGACAAGCAGCATAAGAATCAAAGAGAACACATGACATCCAGCTGAAATACAAGACAAAATCAGCAAGATTCAAAACTGTATCAATGAAGATTAGTAACATCCAACAACATGAACAGAATGATACATTGCTTTATCAAAAAAAGAAAAAAAAAAGAAAGAAAAGAAAAACCTCCTACTTTTTAGCCAAGAGAATGATCCAGGAAACCCAATTAACTGGCATAAACCATCTATCCTCTTCCACAACATAAATACATATCAAATAAATAGCTTGGTAATAAGTCCAAAAGTGCTGCAAAAACAAAATAATGCATCAAGGAAATGTTTGGAATGAAACAACAAAGCAACATTCAAACTTTCCAAGCTGCAACACCTAACCATGGATGCCGAACTGCAAAGGGTAGTTGTAGGGTGCATGTAATCTGACAGAATTATAAGAAAATTGCTCAAACATCAATCGTTAACAAAAGAGGAATAAGATTCACCATTCCAGAGATTAACCGCTGAGCACCACTAGGAAATTGCATAAGTAAATATGCTTCCTGCAGAACGGGGATAAATTTTGTCAAAGAAAGAACATAATGACAAAAAACAAAAAAATTCAAGGAGAACAGCTTGATATATTTTCAACACAAAACATCTCTATAATTTTGAACATTTGGGCAGGGTTGGCCAGATCCTCTGCCAACCGAACAAGAAAGGAGGACTGTTATAAATTCACGTTGCAAAAAAAGTAAAGCAGCACCAGAAATATTTTTATTCAGGTTCATAAATTTTATCATGTGAAAATTAAACTGTCATGGATCCATTTGAAACAAGTTTGCACGGAAAATTAAATGTACTACAACAATCAACAGTTTAAATAGCTTCTATAAGATATTGTAGCACCATATTCATTCAATGTATATATCACATGTTTCAGGTGACAAATACTAAAGATTATCATATCGCCGACCATAGAACACCATAATGAGCACGTGGAGAATGAAATTATGCTTGGAAAACATATATCACATTTGCGAATGCGACATCCGAGCACGAAGTTAAATTGGTCAAAGTTCGCAAGCTCTATTTGGTTGAACATATATATCATGGGGTCCATTTGAGACAAGGTTGCATGCAAAATTAAATATACAACAATCAAAAGTTTAAATAGTTTATATAAGATATTATAGCAGTAAGTTCATTCGATTTATTCTCCCACTATGTATACCATACTACTTATAACCACATCATACCTTGTCCAAGAATCAATATTGCATTCTCAGCCATTGGAAGAACTTCTTGAATCTTTTCACTGGCAAATATTGCTTGATTGACTAGAAAACAAATCAGAAATTGTTTAAATGCATAAGAGAGAGCCAAACCATAACCTTTCCATATATATGACCATAATTAATAACTGTATGCAATTTAAGGAGAGTTTTTTGCTAACTAGTTTCCTGGATAAAGAAAATTGATTTTGTACAATTGACTTTTAAAAAACTCCAGCTCAATGCAATTCAATAAAATAAGATTTTTGCAAAAAAGAAAGAGAAATTAATCAGGTTATATCAAAAAACTGAAAATACATTGGCAATCTGATGTATATCAAACTGAGTTTTTTCATTGGCAGACACAGCTTATATTTGCAGAAGAATCAGACATGTTTTTCTCAGCCTTCTAGAAACTAAATTCCAATACTTAAATAACACATTCACAGCATGAGACTACAAGATCAAAAGACATTTACCAAAAAGGTCTCCCAAAAGGCCTTCAAGTTTTTAGACGATTAATATGCAAAAATCTGCACCTCATAGAATGCAATCTAGAAGCTATATGCAATCACATATGTAATTTCTAAAAAAGAAGATTCTGAAGTGTGAGATTGCATGAATGAAAAATGATGGTTGAAACGAGTTGCTCAACTAACAACTTTTTCATGATGCAGAAATGATCCAGCTAAATGAAACCCCACAAAGTGTAGGAAAAGTGAAGAATTTGCTTCTTCCATCCAAAAGTTAACGAGATAGATGTCCTAAAAACTTCACAAAAACCTGAGATTTGCATTAGCTTTTCCTCAGTGTCTTTTTTATCACTTTCACTAGCAGAAGTATCCGAATCAGATATCACCATCAGATGTACTGTATAGTGTCCATCCGAAATCCAAACTGTATGTGCTCCTGCAAATTGATGGCAACTGCATTTTAGTAGAGGACAGCAATATCATGAGCAGGAAATCAATGGTTCTTTTACAAACCAAACATCAAGTAGCAAATAATTTAAGAAAGTAAATGAGATACTATTACTGATATACATTTCACCACGAACAACAAAGTCCTTTGGAATTTTTTACAAGATCTTAAGACACATGCAAAATCCAAATGAATGCATCAGTGAAAAATGAAAAGAAAGAAACAGAGGCACCATACCAATTGAGATGTCAGAGAAAACTGTCAACTTTTGAACCTTCATGGTGCAAGTCAATTGCATCAGGTGGCAAGGAATTTCCGATCCATGGACAGGATTGGCCAGGGACAAGAGATGCAGATCTCCGTCTGAGCTTAAGACCAGGAACTTGTTTGGGGATAAAGCATGGACAGATATTGCCTTTGCAAACTTCAGGGGTGCTTTTGTAGATTTAGCACTTTCAACCTCCTTGCTCTTAAATGCCACAAAAAAAGCACCCCTTTCTTTAGAGTCTTGTCTCAGTTTAAGAGACCTCAACTTTACTGCAAGTTACAATGCACAATCAGCTGCTGTACGCAATGGTAAAATGAACAGGTTCAGAAATCTTATCACTAGGAAAAACTGGAAGCAACTCCTAGCTGAATAAGAAATGATCCAGCTTAGATGACCAATTTTGTTACCGTTTAGCAACCCTTAGCCAGGTAACAATTGAAATTAGTTCAGAAGACCATGACATCTGAGAGCACACACTTCAGGACTTGACTACAAGAATAGGTAATTACCATCCAGAGGCATCCATATGTTTTCACCCAAGGCACCATGCCTCGTAGCATCCAGAGCCTACTTCAGCTTAGGTTCAAAATGGTGGGATTTTGCGCAGCTTGAGCTCAACTCAGAGGATTTTAAGCTTAGTCCATTCAGTGGCTGAAAGAACATGGTGCCCAATGTACATAATTTGAAGGCTCTCATAGTTCAAAACTAAAATTTAGTGTATCACGACTTTATAACTAATCACAAAATGAAGAAACAACAAAAAATATAACACTATAACACAGCTAAGTAGGTTCATATATTTGCAATACATGAACATACTTCAATAAGCACATTACACATCCTGAACAATTTATACAAGATGGGCCGCTTGTTTAGGCCTTGTCATACGGCTTACATAGTTCAGGCTTAGCCTACTAACCTTACAATACTAAACTAACTGTCCGCAATCCCTTTCCTTTTGCTATGAAACTTAATTTCATGTTTTAATTTTAACCAATCTTAACTTCGTGCCCGGATGTCACATTCACAAATGTGATATATGTTTTCCAGTCGGAATTTCATGCTCCCCACACTAATTATGATGTTCTATTCTCCGCGACACGATAATCCTTAGTATTTGTCATCTCTTTCAGTTTGAGACACCAGTTAACAAGATTGAGCTTCTAATTTTGATCAACCTTAACTTTGTATTCGGATGTCACATTCATAAAATGTTTTCAAGCAACAAGTTAGACATTGAGAAGGGATCTGAATAAAAACTCATTTTGCGGTCCATAGAAGGACTCCACTCCTTTGCTAGGACTCATTGCAAACCGAGCTTCATTCAACTTAATCATTTGGCAGAATATGTGGGAAGTTGGACTACCAATCTACCATCTGCAAGTCAGGGTTATTTGGTGCAAAAACTAAAGGGGAGAGAGAGAGAGAGAGAGAAAGCAAAGAAAACTAGCCATACAACAAAAAAGGACCTAAAATTTAACAATAACATTTGGGATAAATAACTAGGTCTTCCAAGATACAATAGCTCATTCAAAACAATAACTCTAGCCTATGTTCCCCGAATTTTGAATCTTTATTTGAGCATACCTTGCTAAAGTTAGAATTTGTCCAACCTTGCAGAAGTAAGGGTCTGTTCATTTGTCAAATCACTGTTTGAGCATACCTTGCTAAAGTCAAAATTTGTCCAACCTTGCAGAAGTAAGGGTTTATTCATTTGTTTGCACTGGTTTACACTAGTAAGCTCGCTGAACGCATTAATCTATCTACTAATACATTTTTCATTAGCTAGTTACATAGTATTGAATAGTGGCAGATACAAAATGCAAGCACTTACATGAAAATTAAATTATAAATTGCTAATATGTAATTTGAAAAAGTCATAGATTCAAAAATAATGAAAACAACTAAGCAAAAAGAAAAAGAAAACAAAAGAAGAAAAGTGTAATGTATCATACAATTAATATGCATGCAATATTAAATGTCAATTATTAGATAACAAAATCATCCTAAAGCTTCTGTGCACGACAACATTGGGATACCATATGCATGCTGGATTTTAGAAAACCACCATTTATGCTTCATCTATACTACTAATAAAAGTATCTTAATACCTTAAGATGAGAAACTTTTGATCTCTATTTTACCCTTATAAAGGATTGTAAAGACTACTTTATCCTTTCACAATTAAATATCTAAATTACTATCATATCCTTATGTATTTAAATCTTCAAATTATGTATAATATCTCTTTTAATTATCTATTCCCTATGTATAAATATCAGTTTTTATAAAAGTTTTTGATTATTGCCTTAAAAAAAATATGCATCAT